CCAGCTCCTCCGGCAGGACCCCAAGGCGTTCCCGGACCAGATTGGAGATGTAACCTCTCCAACGTGTCCTGGGTCGACCCGGGGGCCTCCTGCCAACAGGACATGCCCGAAACACCTCCCCAGGGAGGCGTCCAGGAGGCATCCTGACCAGATGCCCAAACCACCTCAACTGACTCCTTTCGATCCAGAGGAGCAGCGGTTCTACTCCGAGTCCCTCCCGAATGTCCGAGCTCCTCACCCTATCTCTGAGGCTGAGCCCGGCCACCCTACAGAGGAAACTCATTTCGGCCACTTGTATCCGCGATAACCATAGGTGAGGATTGGGACGTAGATCGACCGGTAAATCGAGAGCCTGGCTTTCTGGCTCAGCTCCCTCTTCACCACGACAGATCGGCTAAGCGTCCGCATCACTGCAGATGCTGAACCAATCCGCCTGTCGATCTCCCGATCCCTCCTACCCTCACTCGTGAACAAGACCCCGAGATACTTAAACTCCTCCACTTGAGGTAGGACCTCTCTCCTGACCCAGAGTTGGCAAGCCACCCTTTTCCGGTCGAGAACCATGGTCTCAGATTTGGAGGTGCTGATCCTCATCCCAGCCGCTTCACACTCGGCCGCAAACCTACCCAGCAAGAGCTGAAGGTCAGAGCTGGATGAAGCTAGGAGGACCACATCATCCGCAAAAAGCAGAGACGAGATTCTCCTACCACCAAACTCGACACACTCCACACCACGGCTGCGCCTAGAAATTCTGTCCATAAAGGTAATGAACAGAACCGGTGACGAAGGGCAGCCCTGGCGGAGTCCAACCCTCACCGGGAACAGGTCTGACTTACTACTGGCTATGCGGACCAAACTCACGCTCCTCTGGTAAAGGGACTGAGTGGCCCTTAACAGAAAGCCACCCACCCCATACTCCTGGAGCGTCCCCCACAGGGTGCCCCTGGGGACACGGTCATAAGCCTTCTCCAAATCCACAAAACACACGTGGATTTGTTGGGCAAACTCCCATGCCCCCTCCATCACCCTTGCAAGGGTATAGAGCTGGTCCACAGTTCCACGGCCAGGACGAAAACCACATTGCTCCTCCTCAAGATGAGATTTGTAGCATAGTAAATCTACATGACTAGGATTTAACGCTGTTTGCTGTGCAGCTTTGTTAGATCCTGAGAAAGATCAAACAATTTGGCCTATGAACTTGTATTTACATAGATATCCACGGATATTTATATAATTGATAGTTCATACACCAACTGGCTTGGTCTATATTTAATCCAAAGATTAATATTTAATTTATTTATTTAGAGATTTAAATTAACAGCAAAAGTTTATTTATTAAATCAGAAGATTTAAAGAAATCTTTGCTCGTTCAATAACCAAATATACACCACTCTGTGTTTCATTTCAAAGAAGAGTCAGGTTTAAAAAGTTAAGAATTCATTATTAACAATTTAAAGACTATTAATGACTATTTAAAAGACAATTTATAAGTGACAATTTAAAACTTGGTATTAAAAGCAACCTGTGTCTGGATGAGAACTAAAATGAAATGTGTGTGTGTTGGATGTGTGAATGGAACCTCAGAAGGTTTCTATCAGAGAGAGAAAATGCATTCTGGGTGAAAGAGTTGTTTTGCAGCTGAGCTGTTATTTCTTAAAGAAACAGGCATACGGACGCAATCTGTCGGAAGTGTCTACCTCACCCAGTTAGGAGACCCCCTTTTTGGATCTGAGATGTCAGGAGGAGATGATGACCCCCAAGCACGAGGTGGGTAGAAAAACCATATTGCGACCAAATCGGTCCTGAGATGTCTCCGGGTCACAACGACCGATGAAGTTGGTTGCGTCTCAAAAATCAATAACTCTGAAGGAGTTTTGTGTCAGCTGGTTGCAGGTGGCGTTTGTCGGAGCAGTTCTATCAGCGTGACAGAACAGCTTAGTGGAGGCTTCGAGTGGCCGTCTCGATCGTCTGGGACTCTCGTGCCACAGAGAGATTTTTGGTGAGCTCAAGAAAACTGAACTTGAACCGAGGAGTTTAGGTTTTAACAAACCTCGGGACATGCCCTCTCAGAGATAGAAAGCTTTGGTTATGGAGCAAAGACATGAGAGAGCAGTTCCCTTTAACCCTGATGTCCTGCATGGTCTGTATAAGTGCACATGACCTTCTGTTACTGATCAACATTACTGATTGTCATAAATAATAATTATTATTAACCAAAGAATAATAATTCATTTCAGTAATTAAATACATTTATAATGAACCATGATGATTATTTATGAATGCAGGAGCCATATATGTCATTTCTTTTTATGCACTTGAGAGGAGGCTTTGCCTCATGTTATTGGTTAATTGCTTGTGGAAGCACCAGCCTACTTAAGCCAACACAGATTGGACTCAGGGTGGCTGGATGGGACAAACAGTTTTTTACTGTGTGGCGAGGACTGTGGCTGTGTGTAATGGACTCTGCGGACTGTCATTGGGGCAAGTAACGCATTCACTGCAAACCACTTTAACTGCTGTAAATGGATCATCATGGACATTTTGGAACCAGACAAAATAATAAACATCATCGGAAATAAACTCAAGCTGCATTTCTTTAAGCACACGTAAAGACCACCCGCAACAGCAACCAGGTAGTGCCAGTGTATAGGGCACTGGCGCTACAATGAACCTTGTACTAGACAGTTAAAAGAGTTTATTAAAAATGATTCTTTTAAATCTTGAAGTGTCCTTCATCTTGCAGATGGAACAGCAGTCAGATTAAAGATGGTTTACAGCAGACTTTGTGTCTCCTGTGATGGATAATCTGTGAATAGAAGTGCACCCAGGACAGCGTGACCTAGCTGAGGAAGTGTGACCTTTGGGTCACAAATGAGGGCATTCATGTCGCTACAGACTCAACTATCGATCGGACCCTCCTCTCCAGTACCTTGGAGTAAACCTTTCCAGGGAGGCTGAGGAGTGTGATCCCCCTATAGTTGGAACACACTCTCAGGTCACCCTTCGGTCTACACTTCACAGGAACTGCCCCCGATGACCACGCAATGTTGCAGAGACGTGTCAACCATGACAGCCCTACAACATCCATAGCCTTGAGATACTCAGGACGAATCTCATCCGCCCCTGGGGCTCCGCCGCTGTGTAGTTGTTTGACTACCTCAGCAACTTCTGCCCCCGAGATCGGACAGTCCATCCCCAGGTCTCCCGGCTCTGGTTCCTCCTCGGAATGCGCGTAGGTGGGATTGAGGAGCTCCTCAAAGTATTCCTTCCACCGTCCGACTATTGCCCCAGTTGACGTCAGCAGCTCCCCATCCCCACTGTAAACAGTGTGAGCGAGTTGCTGCTGTGGTTCTTTTCCTTGTCAAAACACAGAGACCACAGAAACACAGCAGCTCTTTTAATTGACACTGCTTCAAATTTTAGTCGCTCAACCGCATTTTTCTCACTGATAGTTTGCTGGTTGAATGGGGGAAATTTTGTGTGTTTACACTGCTTGGTCTAAGATGGGTTGAAACAGATTGTGTTAATGTGGCTGCTGGGTAACAAAAAGCTAGAGCTACATATCTGACAGAGGATAGTGGAGGCTATTGGGCTTTACTGTTCCACCACGGTCGTTGTCGACTCAGCTCTCGGCTCCGTGGGGTGTCGACACAGCTGCGGACTTGCAGATCTTTGACCGCGGTGGACCAGTGAAGCTCGATATCCTCGATCAGCTTATCTAGTTCTGATTTTGTTACTAAGCAGGCCGGAGGTGCCTTCTCTTTGGAGTCGCTCTACTGCATCACAGTCTGATGAAGCCAACAGGACCACATCATCTGCTAAGAGCAGACACTCCATAGGCCACCAAAGCTGATCCCCTCACACCTTGGCTGCGTCTAGAAATTCTGTCCATAAAAGTTATGAATAGAAATGGTGATTAAAGGCAACCTTGGAGGAGTCCAACTCTCACCAGAAATGAGCATGACTTACTGCTGGCAATGCGGACCAAGCTCTGTCACTGATCTTACAAGGACCTTAAGGAGTCCGGATCTCCATACTCCTGTTGCACTCCCCACAGGACTCCTGGAGGGACGCGGTCAAACGCCTTCTCCAAGTCCACAAAAACAGATTTGATTGTCAAGCTTCTACACATCCTCTAGGCCTCTTCTAGGGCTCTAGATTGTTCCTCCTGAACCCAATGTTCAACAATCCGATGGACCCACTTCTGCAGAGCCCCTGAATGCAGGGAGGCTTAGGAGTGTGATCCCCCTGTAGTTGGAGCACACCCTGCGCCCCCTCTTTTTAAACAGGGGGATCACCACCTCAGCTGACCAACCATGTGCCTGCAAATCTGGTCAGCCATGTTGACAATGGAGGCATAAAACGTGGCCTACTCTGACTCAACGTCCCCTCCTCACTCAGCACGTTTGAAGTTCTGCATTTTGTTTTTAATGATATTCATTTGTTTTTATCTTTTTTTTGTATTTTAATCATGTTATAATTTTGATATTTTTGTGAAGAACTCAAGTGTTTTTTCTTTTATTCCTGTTTAAATAAAGACCAAATAAAATATCGACATCAATCTACATATCGAGATATTGCAATACACCTGAGCAGTGTCACAGGCTAATGGACTCCACGCCACGCCGTGTTGCTGCAGTAATCCAGGCCAAAGGAGCCCCAACTAAATATAGTGGTGTTCATGCTCATTCTTTTCATGTTCAAACGTTTCAGTTGGCCAACATTTCTAAAATTCCTTTTTATTTTTTGCTTTGGTCTTAATTGATTTCTAATTTGGGATTTTCATTATTTGTCAGTTATAATCATCAACATTTAAAGAAATAACATTTCAAATATGTCAGTATGTGTGTAATGAATTAATCTAATATACAAGTCTCACTTTTTGAATGGCATTACTCAAATTAACCAACTCTGTCATAATATTCTAATTTTATGACCAACACCTGCATACTGCTTCAGTGCTAAACTGGTCAGAAGTAAGGAGACAAAACACACCGTGCTCCTTCTCTTTCTCTCTCTTTATTCATCCATCAGCAGGAAGTCCACTGCAGAAGTGACTGGTATGACCACCAACACTTTAGACCTGCTTACACTAAGAGAAGCACAGCTCGATTAAAATACCACGATGCTTTCATTCACGTACATGTAAGAAGTGGAACAATTCACAAACAGGATGATTCCAGTATGCAGAAGTCTCCAAACCACACACGCAACATGGTTTTGGTTCTATAAATAGAAGATCCAGGTTATTTTCTTTAGGTTTCTGTCACTAAAACACAGATGCATCCTGATCACGATGAATCACGACTGAATGATTGAGGTTCTATTATGCTGAAGTGTCTGTGCGTTTGGGAACGAGAAAAACTGAAACGTGTTATTATTTACAGACTGAAATTAAACCACTCTGACACAAGTGGTGCTTTCCTTTCAGACTTTACAACTGTCTTTAAACACTGCGATAAGGGGACCAAGCAAATGTACACAAGAACTTGTCTTTTTTTTCTTCTTTTTGCAGATTTGTGGAGATTATGTTTTGGTTTTGTCCTGCCATCAGTCCATGTAAGTGGGGGAGCTGGGAGAAGCTGGCATCTGATCCAAGATCCTGCAGACATAACCGGCTACGTCAACGGAGCGCTCCTCGTACATCTGGATGAACGGATCTCTCTGGTGTGAACAAAGAGGTTAAAACGTGAGTAAAAACATATAAAGTATTCAAATGTGACACGATGGTTCAGGAGAAACTCACCAGTAGCTCTTTGTACTTTGGCCTCTTCGATTCATCCTTTGTAAGGCTGCAAATGACAAGAGAAGCTTAATGTTGGATGCTGCTCACCAGTTTGTCCACTAGATGGCAGAAGTTCACAACACTGACATTAAAACGCTTGAAGTCAACTGAACACCAAGTGAAAAACCTTAAAGAAAGATGTTTCTTACCACACGTTGACAAAGGAGATGAATTTTGGGGAGAAGCGCCTCTCCTCGGAGTTGCTGAGCTGTGGTGGGTCACCTCGGACCACTTGGGTCAACTGGTCAAACACACTGTTCCACCTGGGGTAGGGGAACCGCCCCGTAGCCAGTTCATACTGAGACAAAAATGAAACGTTCTAGTTTAAAGGAATGACTACAAATGGACTAATTTATGCTTTAAAATCCCAGCAAAGAACATGAGCACAGTTTGGATTTGAACTACCCTTTTTTACCTCGGTATCGGCTGATGTTAGACATTTTTTAACATATCGGTCCAGTAAAAAAAAAATTAGGCTGATATTATCAACCAATATTTTTTCCATCTTGTCACCATTTGTCTGCCAGTTTCAGAGGGTGAGGGAGGCGATGTGTAATCGTTTAGTCATGTGAACTGTGATTGTAATCATCTCAGAGGTGTAAATGTGTGTGGTGTGTGTACATAATGTCATTTCAGTTCTAATCATTTTTATTCTATACAAAATCTGCTGGTTTTAGAAGCATTAATGTCAGTATATCTGTAACAGCAAATATCGGTTATCGGCCATAACAGCGATCTTAATATCGGATATCGGTATCGGCCCAAAAATTTCATTACGGTGCATCCCTAAAATATAATCAACTTTTTGGCTGATAAAATGTATAAATGAGTGTCTAATAGTGCTGTAGACATGTGTAGTTATTAATTTTGGGCATTTTATTAAATGTCATTTAAAATACAAATATTCTGCCTAAAACCATCGTCTTAAACGTCTGTCCTACCTAGGCAGAACAGTGTGACATTGGTGCATTTCCGCTGTGGAAGAAGCAGCCGAGCCACGGCCACGCCTCCAGCTGGCTCAGCCAATCATGTGGGGATACGAAGTGATTTGACTCAGAGCCGCTCGCCTCCTCCATAGAACCTTCCTCCCTTTCGTCTGGTGAAGGCGGTGGAGAGAAATCCTCCAGATTAGGACGTGTGCTGCCATTCCTCCGTCTGAGCGAGTTGTGTGTTGGGATGTGATTGCTAGTGGCTCGTCTCTTCAATGGAGAGAACTGCTATAGATGCGTAGGTGTGTGTGTGTGTGTGTGTGTGTGTGTGTGTGTGTGTGTGTGTGTGTGTGTGTGTGTGTGTGTGTGTGTGTGTGTATAATCACTTTTCTCCAACCTGGTTGAATGTTTGCATTTTCTTCCAACATATCTTTTATTGTTTAATTCCCAATAATTTGGGTTTTTGACACAACTCAGGGATTTCATGTGGTTTTTTCAATGACTAAAGAGAATGACGCAAACTTCAGACCCACCAGTGTGATTCCCAAACTCCAAACGTCTGATCGGACATCGTATCCCTGCCTGGAAGCACTGGGGTCTATTCTCTCCGGCTGGAAGAAAAACAAGATTTTAAATTTTCACTTCTGAAATGAGGAAAAAACATTTTATTGAAAATTTATGCTGCAAAATGTAAACTAAGTGTTTTTCCCCAGCTCTAGGTATCAGACTGGACTCTAAGACAGAATGAGGTGTTCTGAAATCCAAACTTGGTCTCCTTTGAGACCATTAAACTCGTTTTTTGATCAAGACAACAAGATGCCATCAGCTCTACAGCTCACACCAATGTGCAGCTTCCCTCCCCGTCCCCATTCTTCAGCTTCAGCACCAAACACGAAGCAGACGTAGTAATGAAAGCGTGTTGGAGGGCTGCAGTGCGGAGCAAGGAGGCACCTCGCTGGCCCATTTACTGGCCTGAATTAGATGCTGATGTCATCCAGAGGAGCAGGACGGTCTGAGATGCAGCTCAGGGCTGCAGACCTGATCACATCTGCAGACAACAGAAACCTCCACAGTAAAAACTTCTGTTTAAGGAGAAGATAACTATTCCAATGAGAGAGGCATTAATAAAAACTAATAATCTACAACTTTTGAATCCTCGTCATATAAAGAAAATTAATTTCCCAGCAGCTGTGACACAAAATAAGCAAATAAAAGGCTGTAGAACAATAATGGTTACAAAACACCACTTTAGCTAAAATAGAATAATCCCCTTTTTTATCCATGTTGAAGCGTCTATTGTTATTTATGTTTGTAGTTATTCAAAGGTTTTTAAATCAAATTAGTCCAAGAATCAGGTTAGAACGTTCTATTTATTTATTTAACTGTCTGCTATGCTGTTGTGGATCATTGTTCTTCTAAAGAGTTTAGCGTCAGACACGGATCTCCAGAGCTGCTGATATTCAGATTCTGTTAAACCCCTCCAGAACCAGATACCGTAGAAAAACCTCACCATAATACACCCTCCTCCATGCTTCACTATAGTCTACAACTATGGTGAAGTAGTTTTTGGGGTTGCTTTTAAATTAGTGATGAACCGATCTTGTAGACACTAAGGAAGGCTGGGAGACATTTCAGCTGATAGGTGTTAAGACCAATGCACAGCGAGGAGGTGGTTTTGGTTTCGGTTCTACAAACGAACACCAGGGGGTGCTAAAAGCAAGTCAAAAACTGCCTACCCTCTAGCCAAGGGGTTGCAGGTTCACATCCTGCTTGGTCTGTCACAATCGTGTCCTTAAGCAAGACACATCACCCATCCTGCCTGCTGGTGGTGGTCGAAGGGACCGGCTGTGTACGGCAGCCTCTCTTCTGTCAGTGTGTCCTAGGGCAGCTGTGGCTACATCATAGCTCATCACCCGTATGTGAATGACTGGTGTGTTGTAAAGTGACTTGGGGGGTTCTAGGACTCTAGAAGGCACTATATAAACACTGTCATTTACCATGTCGGACTTTGACCGGCAGAGTAAGTAGTATGTAAGTTTTATTTATATCGCACTTATTACAGACGTAGAATCACAAAGTGCTTCACATAGATCAAAACTACATCAAACTAAGTCATCAAATTATAATAATCTCAAAACAGAAATAGATTAACATCAGATAAAATAGCTATAAAATTATAACATTTCATAAACAGAAGAAAGATTACATTTTTTTAGTTAAAAATAAGAAAATATAAGAAAACTAAAAGTTTAGGTAAAAGCAGCTGTAAATAAAAGGGTCTTTAGCTGTTTTTTTAAAAGGGTCCAGACTGTCAACGCTACATAAGGATAAAGGAAGTTCATTCAAAAGTCCGGTGCAACAGTCTGGAAGGAGCGACCACCTCGACTTTTATATCTGGTCTTTGGAACTTCTAGAAGGTTCTGGTGTGTGGACCTGAGGGCTCGGGTTGGCAGGTAAAGTTATAGTCAGGACTCTAAAATGAACTCTCAAGTTAACGGGTAACCAGTGCAGAGACGTCAGAATGGTCTCAGTCAGAGGCTCAGCATTCAGAGAGGAAACAAAGAAATCAAGTTTGAGGTTGCTTTATATTGAAGCACCACATGTCCTGTGAACCAACCAACATATTCTAAACCTACAAACAGGCTGCCCTCACAACCTCAGTGATTACAGGATGAAACCAAGAAAAGGGTCATCGGAAAAAAACTACCAAACAATACTTACATAATACTTACATAAACCACAGACAATATCATGGTACCAATAAATATTTACATAATTACAAATCATTCATCTTAAATCTAAGGTAAATCAACAGAATAAATCAAATTTAACATAACTTCTCTAAGCATCATCTTCTCCAAATGGTGAGCTCCAAGAGCCTTAAAGCAGCACTCTGACCACGTAGATGCAACGTGGACTGACAGTGCCTATTGGAGCTGGTGTGGCAGCAGCGCCATCTTGGGTGGGTCTCTATTAGCCCTCAGTGCATTTATTTCTACTAAGGAAGGTGCTTACCCAACTAAAATACACATTTCATCATGCTTTATCACAAAATCAGACGTACGGTTTACCATTAAAATGTAAGTATAACTACATTTAATAAATTACATTTTAAAATCACAACAGCTAGACTACAGAAGTCAATGGTAATCCCACATGATCACATCTCAATAGTAGGCTGGTTGTTGTAACCATTATATATATATATATATATATATATATATATATATATATATATATATATACATACATATATATATATATATATATATATGTTATATTATTTCATTACTATTTTTGTTGAAATTTACTTTCAGAAACATTCTCATGAGACTAAATCAGTTTGTGTGCAACTTTAAAAAACTTAGTCAGGGCCTTTGATCGAGCAGGGCCGTTGACAAGTTGTTTCAAACATTTAAGTTATTCATTACCGTCCCAATTTACAAACACAGAGAATATATATGAAAACATGAAACACACTCCAAACCAGAACCACAGCTCCTGTAGAGTCTAACTTGCAGAAAGATCAACACCTTCTTCCAGCCCAAGGCAAAGACAATAAATCAGCCTTCCCACATGCACCAAGATCAGCTGCTGAAGCCTGCAGAATAACCAGCAGCACCGTCCGCCACACACACACACACACACACACACACACACACGCGGTGTGTGTGCCAGCTGGAAAGAAGAAACTGGAGCTGAATTCCTGCAGCCTGAGCTCACAGGTGCTGGGAGCTGTAGAGTGACTCAGTTTAAGTCATGAATGGAGCGTCGTGCGAGCGTAGGTGTCGTACCGCTGGATTCAGATATCACCAAATTTAGATAGGAAATTGCTGTAAGAAAGGGAGGAGCCAGCGGCTGACGGAACCCGCACCAAAAAATAACCTCAGGTGATGCTGACACGGTGAGGTCACCTTTAAATGTTGAGGAAGATGCTGGATGATCCAGCCGTCCTGACTCATGGGCAACATTAAACAACAGCTAATGTTGTAAGTCAGTAGATGAGTGGTCTGTGACTGTCTGAGGAGTCTCAGAAATAATCAGGTCTTTATCTGAGGTGAATTAAAATGTCAGCGATGACTCGTTCGTTTCCAGTGACGCTACAAGCCTGTGGCTTCCATGTGTGGTCCAGCTCTGGGAAACTCCTCAGACCATAAACCCAAAGAGAACTTGTCAAACTAGATGAACACGAAATAAAAAACTAAAATTTGACTAATTTCAAGCACTGATGACAACGAATGAGCTCCATCAGTCAGGATTTGGGCCAGATTGTGATTGATAACACATCTGTGTGAACTAAGGAAGCAGCACTGCAGATATTGACTTCCTTTTCATCAGATGTTGTAAATCTGCAGAAGTAACCACAGAAATGTCTGACTGAAAGATGCAAGAACACTGAAGAAAGAAAGGTTTTGGCCACAAGTGTAAATCCCCAACAGTGTTAATAAAATTAGCAGAAATCAAACTCTCCCAGCTTTAAAACTCACCGCCATGTACGGCCTGCAGCCTGCGTCTCTGGTTTTGGCGATGGAGTCCACCAGCTGGCCGCTGATACCAAAGTCACACAGCTTTATGTTGCTGTTCCGGTCCAGGAGGATGTTAGAAGGCTTAATGTCTGGGTGAAGACAGAAACAAAAAGACAAATGAAGGAGAGAAAAAAAAAAAACACAAAATAAAAACCTAAAACTCTGGAATCCATTTACCTCGGTGGATTATCTTCAGGTTTTCCTTTAAGTGGTTAAGAGCCTTCACAGTCTGCAGAATGCAAACAGGTTCGGAGACGATTATTAAAAAATAACTAGTTCAGAAATTAGTTTAAAAGAATGTCTAAAAACTTACAGCTAAAGTTATTTTTCCTAATATCTCTTCTGGAATCACGTCGTCTAATGTGCAATATACAAACTTGTAAAACTTGTCTAAGGAGGTAGCCATGAGCTCCATGCAGATCCAACAGTCCCCCTGAAACACGACAGCAGCTTCAGTCACGTCTGTCAGACTCCCTTCAGACGTTTGAGGGAAAGCTGGAGGACTCTCACCTCTCTGAACAGAGCGCCATAAAACTGGACGATGTAGGGACAATCGCTGCTTCTCATGACCACGTCCAGGTCCATCAGCAGCTGCTTCTGCTCCTTTTCATCCACCGTTGATCGAATCCTCTGAAAAACACACAAAATGATTCGGCTTGTGCGTTTGTGCTTTTGCCGTGAGCTCGGGTACGACGGATCACCTTGACTGCCATGATGGTGTTGCTTGGCTTGTGCACCATCTTGTTGACGGAGCCGTAAGCCCCGCGGCCGATCTCACCCAGATCTTTGAGATCTTCGGCTGTAAAGTCCCAGTGCTGCTCCGGGGAGATCTTCAGCTTTCCTGACGACTCGATGCTGTGAGTCCTCAGTCTCTCGCTGATGGAAACAAATTAATTTAGAGACTGAAACCAGACTTGGAATGACCAGAGTCAGAAGGGATCTCACTCACATATGCGGGTTCTGAAACGGAGGCCCGGCCGTGTTTAGCGAGAATCTGGTCGATGGTTTGATGGAAGGGTTGGACAAGTTCAGCTTAAGGGCTTTACGTTTGCCTGAATGGGAGGAAACAACCAAAATGAGATTTTACCAACGCAGCGCAGCCTGAAAATCAGGCAAAGCCAAAGAAGAGCTAATCTACGGTGAAAAGTGGGTGAAAATGACCAAAGACAGAAAATAAGATGAGTAAATGAGTCCAAAGGAACTGAAACAAAAGTAAAAAAGAGATGATGCTTTTTGAGAGGAAAGAAGTGCAAAAATCTGCATCACTGCTGAAACAAATATCCACCTAAACTCTGCTAATAAGGAAGTAGCCAGGATGCACGATCACCCAGATGTCTAAAACACGTGAACTGCTCCGCTCACCTGACCCAATACTGAATGTTTCACCCTTTTTCTCTGCAATAACAGAATCAAAGCACTGGTGTCTAGTGGGCGTTAAAAGTTAATAAAACAAGTCCACTCCATGCAGTCGCCGGTATTTTACGCTACCTTAAATATAAATGAGGAAAATAACAGGAAGTCAGCCAGAGAAAGTAGAGAATACTGGCTGTAGAAGCAACAGAAAGACATTTCTGCTGCAGAACTGTGCAGCTTTCTAACTGGGATTCAGAACATTTTATGGCACAGTTTAGAATAACAATGTGCTTCAACTCCAAACGCCAACACATCTGCTTCTCAAGGCCACTGAAAAGTCCGATGCATATTTTACATCAGACATCTCAGCTACATGCAAACAGCTGAATAAACTCAGTTACTTTGAATAATTAAATAATGGAGCAAAATAAAAGATTCTGCTGTCTTTTGTGTCCCTGCAGCTCAGGGACACGTGAAAAATCTATATTATATTGATCAGTATTAAAGTTGTAGCGTTTGTGTGTTCTTGTTTGGATATTATTTGTGCAATTGCTGGACAAAATGACTTGCTGTGGCATTAATTGCACTAATAGAGCGTCCAAGGAGTCTCCACTTCATTTTTTTCGGTAAGTAAAATTATATTTATGTATTTTAGGTCACTGCCGAGCTGAGCTTAGATTTTAACATGTACTGTTTAACCATGACATTTAAATGTAATAGGGTAAAACCCAGTGCATTTAACATAATGCTGCACTTTAGAAAATGGGTTGAAATTTAACATGTTGGTGGAGCTGGGTTCCCACTGTCGGTACGGTCCCCTCCCCTCAGCTCGGCGCATCTCAGATCGCAGCGGTGCTTGTCTGCTGTGCGGCTGCCGGCTTGTGGAGGTCTCGGAGACCTCTGTGTTCCACCCGGTTTTACCCAGCGGTCAGCCCGGCGTATCTCTGACTCAGAAGCTCTGGTGTTGTGCACAAACTCCGGTTGTAGCTAGGTTGCTATCTCCGTTAGCTTAGCTCCCACCTCTGCGTTAGCTTTGGGTTAGCTTCAGGTTAGCTTGTAGCTACATTAGCTTCAGTTTGACCGGGTGTCTTCGATTCCAGCCTTACCGCCCCACCCTCAGCTCCACCTCTCTTCCCATTTGTGGAATTGTCTGGGCTTGACGGAACCTGTGGCACGGTCAAAATGGCGGTGGTGACCACCTCCTATTTTAACTCAAAAACGTAATATTGGAGTCTTTGGAAACCCATTGTCCACATATATGCATGTCGATGGTTTTAACACACATTATATTGTTCTGTGCATCAAACTGACCTCATTTTCCAATTTTCTTTTCATATTTAAGAGTTTTCTTCATGTTATTTAAGCAAAATTACAAATTATATAGTAAAAAGTCTCACTTTAGTCTATGAAGGTGAATCATGGAGGTGACAAAAACATTAAATCCAATTCAATATGTTGGTTTTCTACCAAGTTTCTTAGAAACCCTCGTAAAGAACTGTTTAAAACTAATAAATAAGAATAATAAGAGCTATAGAACTTCACACAGCAGCCATCTTTAAAGAAATGTGAAAAGTTGAATCTTTGAAGACAGCTTTCAGCTTTCTCTGTGAAATTACTAATAATCATTATTAGCACCTTGTATTTTTATCTTGAAATAAAACCTTTTCGTCAGTAACGCTGGAGGATTACTGAAGAACTTCGGTCACATAACTGTACTTATTATGATTACTGTGCATAACTCATAATAATAATAATAATGATTAAATGTTACAGTTAATACCCAAACATGGAGGTATTTATCTGTATGGAGTACCAGTTTTAACCCACAGAAGACAAAATCACTCATTTCATTTAGCTAGAAGGCTTTGGCTACATTAGCTTTCATTTTAATGTGATTTCTATATTTTAAAGTATAAAACAAACAAAAAAATCCATCAAAAACAAATTAAAACTTTCACTCAGATTTGACTTTCTACAGAGATTCTGATTAATGAACAACGTGACGATGCATGCAAAAAAAATCCCTTATAAAATAAAAACATGCTTTTTCAGGCGGGGCTGCTTTGAGATTTCATCTCAGATCATCCAACATGCCACAAGAATCTATAGTTTAAACAACAAATTCACCAACTGGTTTGTTAGTTCCACACTGAAAAAGCACAGAGTTAGAGCATCCAAACGGACGGGTGGAGGACATCAGAGCTTCCATCACACCCAGACAAGACGGATGTAGAAATATGTTGAGAAGATCTCGTGCCAGAATATCATTGGAAGGTTTGAATGAAGAACATTGTACTAAAACTCTGCCTTTTCTTTCTCTGTTCTCAATAACAAAGTTTTAGCATGTGATGGATCAGCATCAGCATTAAGCACAATCCTACTGAGATGTTTAGACTGAGATTAGTGGAGAACAGCAGGACAGACTCCCCCATACCAGACTGTCAGGCAGAAAGAAAAGGATGGGAGCTGTTGGTGCTGAAGCAAAAGAGGTTTGGCTTACTTGGGGGAGCTCCAGACAGGTTTATCTGAAACCCTAGAGGTGAAAAAGAGCTTTTACTATCATTATTCTTCATAAAAACCCGCTTTGGTGGTTTGACTTCAACAATCCTGAATTTAAAGATCAGCTTTTTTCGTCTTCCAACAAATGTAAGACATTAGATAGATTTAGAATTTGCAGAGTTGCATCGTTTGGCAGGTTGAATGTCTTTTATGGAGGATAACGCACAGGCATGCAGCTAAAAACGTGATAGAATGATGGTAAATTAGGGGTTAAAATGACCTGCAGGTAAAAAAAATGGAGGGAAGGATCAAGAAGCAAGGATGAATAAACCATTATGAGATGGTTTCAACAGGAAGAGTGTCAAACTTTTATTTGGGGGGGGGGGGGGGGGGGGGGGGGGGGGGGGGGGGGGCTCACCGTCAACCAGCATCAGGAGTTTTAGGAATCAATAATTAGCAGCATTAAAGTAAAAGATTAAATAGTCAGAGACATGAAAAGTCAAACAGGAAACATCTAAATATCTGATTGTTAGAAAATTCTGTAAAACAACATTTAATGGTTGTTTTTGCAACAGTAAAGCTCAGATCACGTCACTGTGATTAAAAACATGCAAAATTAATAAAATAAATAAAACTGTAAAATAACATCCCTAAAAGAATCTAAATCTATACAAGAAATAATTTTGCTTTCTGAAGAAAATGAAAACATGTTTTATGTTTTCTGTATTCTTGTTCTGCATTAGTACATTTAAAATGTGTGTGGCTACCTGTTTCACTCTGACACCTCCAGCAGGTGTTGGACTCTGAAAGTTCAAATGAGACTGTTTTCAGAAAAACATTAACCTTAAATGAAAAATGTATGAATTGTTCTAACAGCTGCAAACAACTTCAAGTCCCAAAACAAACTGATTCCAAACAACCCATTTGTAATAATAACTCATCTAAATCAGATTTATGGTCATTATAATGCCACAATGTTTATCACATATCAAGCATATTTTAAATTGAGTAACATAATCAATTTGGCACCTTTGATTTCAACAGAAGAATAATGTCAACTAAGTTTAGTGTGAAGGAATAAGGATGTATTAGAATTCAACAATATTTATTGTTTTCTTTGTCTGGACATTTTGAATTAAATTGCCATTTCAGGAAAAAAGTTTTGGATTAAATTAAATTAGACTTGATTTGAAACTATTCTACTGGAAGGAAATAACTGAAATCTACAGTATGAAACGTGACTGAAATTACACGTTCTCTATCACCTTATGCACCATTCTGCTGTGAATAACAAGATCAGAGAATATGGTTCAGTCCAACTCTTACATGTCAAATTGGTTAACAAATAGTCACATTTTTTATTAAAAGGAATTAATGTACAGTCTAGACTAATCTTGCTAAGTATAAGAGTTCTAATATTTCCATGCAAGATCCACAAACAATCTAACTATATACTTAAATGATAAATGACCCGCACTTGTATAGCGCCACTCAGAGTAAGGCTCCAAAGCGCTTTACACTACAGTGTATCATTCATCCATTCATTCATACACACATTCACACACTGATGGCGATGAGCTACGATGTAGCCACAGCTGCCCTGGGGCGCACTGACAGTTGTAAATCATATACTTACATCATCTACTTCAACTCCTATATTACATATGATCAGATTTCCTAATTTCAGAGCTTTATTTTGGTAGAAAATAATATATTATAATATTAAATATACTTTTAGAAACAAAAAACAAGATAATTATAAAATAATAGTACAACAGCAAGTAACAAGATGATGCATTTAATAATAATAATAGCTCTAACAGTTAGCTAACTGTTAGGGAGTAGCCTCCCGCGGCTAGCCGTGCTAACATTAACCTTCAGCGGCAGAGAGCTGCTCCTCGCCCCGCTCTTACCCATGCTGCTCATTGTTGTAATGTGCTGGGTCTGCTGCTGCTGGTACTGGTGTGTGGCGGAGCCTGCGTTACTGGGGGCTGATGAGTTGTTAGAACTGGGAGTCGCCATCGCTGTGTGCTTGAATTCCATCAGCAGCGCCCTGGGCTGCAATGCAGAGACTCGGAGAGCAACTTCACTCCTTCCCTTCCGGAAATGAAAATTGCTGCTAAGCTAACGGCAGCCTCGCCCAGCGAAACAACCAGCCGGCAACCAAAGGAGCGACGGAGTATTGCAAATTATTAGATACGTGTTGAAGATTGACGTTAGGGTAATGGCCACCTATGTCATGACAAAAACAAACATCCAACTAAGCTAAGCTAGCTAACCAAGAGGCTTTACGACCCGCAATCAGCTGACATTGTCAACACCCACTAGCCGTATCAAGCTAGCAACAGCTAGCAAATACGGGACCGGATGTACGTCTGATTGTTTCAAAATAAAAGAAGCGTTTGTCTGCGCCAGCATGGCTCTACCCTCGCGAGACTCCGTCAACGTCTGTTATATTTTCTTTTTCTTCTACTTATACTTATACATAGATACTTTGTTTGTAACTACTTTAATTCACTTTAACATTTTAATGGCATGTTATCAAGAACCTAGAGTGGTTCCCAATTATTTTCTACAAGGACCTCCCTTGCCGGTGTTGAAAACAAACCAGGACTCCACAACTTCATCTCCTACCCACATACACACATCAAAAGTGATTTAGTACAAATGCTACACAGACATAAGGTGCAACTCCTAAACAGATTTTTGATTACACCATTGGGCATGTTATTAATATTTTAGAAATGTAATTTTTACAATATAATCTTTGTAACCTAACAATCTCAGCACAGACAAAGTTCCTGAGACTGCCTGCAAATCTTGTGGGGACCCACTTTGGTGGTCACGGACACCAGAGTGGAAGCCGCTGCTCTAGAGTGCTAGAACCCCCCCAAGGCGCCTAACACAGTCTCTCTCTCTCTCTCTCTCTCTCTCTCTCTCTCTCTCTCTCTCTCTCTCTCTCTCTCTCTCTCTCTCTCTCTCTCTCTCTCTTCTCTCTCTCTCTCTCTCTCTCTCTCTCTCTCTCTCTCTCTCTCTCTCTCCCATCTCTCTCTCTCTCTCTCTCTCTCTCTCTCTCACACACACACACACACACACACACACATTCACAAGCTGATGGAAAGCTACATTGTAGCAACAGCTGCTCTGGGGGCACACTGACAGAGTGGAGGTTGCCGATGATGGCAGGTCTCAACAAGCCTGACTTAAAATGAGGCTCTGTGTTTCCATTCAAAAATAAAGCGTGAATGCATTAACGAAGAGTCTAATAAAATGAGTAGACAGTTGTTGTACATGCATTCTGTCATGAACTCCTCCTCTTAACCTCCTCCGCGGGCCTGGCTGGTACTGCACTCCATTTCCCAGCATCCCTGTCACCGACGCTGACGTCATCTCACTGAGCCTATTTAAGGACCTGTCACAGCTGAGCCGGCACTCAGTCATCATCTCACGATAGATGCCAACCCATTCTAAAAACGACAAGCCAAATCTACCAACTCTAAAGACCATCCGGGAAGAGAACTTCCCACGCTGTAAAGATTAGTCCCGACCAAACACCAGTCTCTCCGCGCCTGGGTCTCACAGCCACGCTACACCTACCTTAGCCACACTCCAGCTCAGCCCATCGAACCTGACAGGATGACTGAGTCCCGAGTAGACCCAGCGGAGATCGCACAGCTGCGAGCAGACGTTGCACAGTTGCTCAGCCGTGTAGAACGCCAGGAGGCGGAAAACGCCCAACTTCGAATAGAGAACAACCAACTTCGTGCTGTTACGGATCGCCAAGCATCCAAACTCGATTCTGTCACTGAACTGGTCGTCCAGCTCTCCTCGACACTCCAACGTCAGTCATCTGCCACTCCTAACTTTGTGGAGCCGTGTCTAAGTCGCCCCGACAAATGGGAAGGGACTAAAGGATCCCCGGAGGGCATGTTGGCCATCCTGTTAATGATTTTTGAGTGTCAGCTGGCACGCTACCCGACTTCCTGCTCTCGCGTTGCCCTGTAAACCTCCCTGCTGACGGGGCAAGCCGGTGAATGGGCGGCTGCTCTGTACAACCAGAAGTCTCCCGTGTGCAACGATTATGAAACCTTCATGAAGGAACTGAAGAAGGCATTTGTGCATCCCAGCAGCCAGGTCGCAGACGAGACACGCCTGCTCCAGCTTCGGCAGGGCTCTGAGACCGTGGCCGAGTACACTTCACGCTTCCGGACCACCGCTGCCCGTCTGGCCTGGGGTGATGCCGCGGTGAAGGCTGTGTACCTGGAGGGATTGTCACCCCACATCCGTGAGGGCATGATCGGACACGAGGCCCCGACCTCCCTGGACCAGGCGGTGGACCTGGCTCTCCAGCTGGATCGCTGCCTTCTCACCTGACCAGGAGTGAGGGCGGTTCCCGTACAATCCAGAACGTTCCCCCGCCGTCAGAGGAACCAACCCACGGAGGAACCCATGCAACTGGGTCATTTGCGATGACGATGCACCTATTGTGGGGATCTGGGCCATCCCCGGGCAACATGCCCCATACGCCCGGGAAACGGTTCCTCCGTGTCGGTGTAGGAGCTGTCTCACCCGGAGTTTCCACTCATGCAGCTCCTCATCACACCACCCTCCCGGTCTCCTTCCAGTTGAACCAAGGACCGGTCCCCCTGGTGGCCCTCCTCGACACCGGAGCTGCGGAAAGCTTTATCGACCAGGGGTTGGTCAACCGGCTCAAGATTCCACTCACTCTCCTCGACCACCCCGTTCCCATCACCTCAGTGGACGGTCGCCCTCTCATGCCATACACGATCACGCACCGAACCCAGAACCTCCGGATGACCATCGAGGAACACGTGGAGGCCCTTCATTTCCTGGTCATTCACGCCCCCATGACTCCTCTCATTCTGGGTCATTCCTGGTTCCGCCTCCACGACCCTCACATCTCCTGGTCCACCAGTAAAGTCATGGCGTGGGGTGTTAACTGTCGCCTTCACCGTCCGTCTCCAGGATCACAGCCTAGGGTGACCCCGCCCAAGGATGTGGATTTAACACTCCTTCCACCCCAACACCACGATCTGGCTCGGGTCTTTGCAAAGGAGCCCACCACCAGGCTGCCTCCTCATTGACCCTACGATCTGGAGATCAGGCTCCAGCCCGGAACCACCCCGCCTCGGGGTCGGCTGTTCTCGCTCTCCCCGGCAGAGACCCAGGTGATGGACGCTTATATCAACGAGGCTCTCCAGAAGGGGTTTATCCGCCATTCCACGTCTCCTGGAGTGGCAGGGTTCTTCTTTGTGAAGAAGAAGGAGGGAGACCTCCGACCCTGTATAGACTATCGTGGGTTAAATAAGATCACCATCAGGGACCGCCATCCTCTTCCTTTAATGAGCACGGCTTTGGACGCCACCGCCCAAGCCACACTGTTTACAAAGCTGGACCTCCGCAGTGCATACAACCTCATCCGCATAAAGGAAGGAGAGGAGTGGAAAACCGCTTTTATTACACTCACTGGACATTATGAGTACCTCGTCATGCCCTTCGGCCTCTGCAACAGCCCTGCCGTTTTTCAGCGTTTCATCACTGATGTCCTCCGTGACATGCTGGGCCATTGGGTTTTTGTTTATTTAGACGACATCCTCATCTACTCCCGCACTGCCGAGGAACACACCCAGCATGTTCGAGCCGTTCTGTCACGCCTCCTGGAGCATGACTTATTCTGTAAACTGGAAAAGTGTGCCTTTCATCAGGAGTCCACCTCGTTTCTGGGGTTCATCATCACCTCCCAGGGCCTACGCATGGACCCACAGAAGGTTCAGGCGGTAGCGCAGTGGCCACTACCTAAGACCCTGAAGCAGCTGCAGAGTTTCCTGGGGTTCTGCAACTTCTACCGCCGGTTTATCCGCAATTTCAGTGCCCTGGCATCACCGTTAACTTCCCTGACCAAGACAACCAATCAGCCTCGCCCTTTCCGCCTCCCCCAGGAGGCTGTTGCCGCCTTCCATGATCTGGTCTGCCGCTTTGTAAGCGAACCCATCCTCCTCCACCCGGACCTAACACGGCCCTTCGTTGTGGAGGTGGACGCCTCTGAGACGGGCACGGGAGCCGTACTATCACAACGGGGCCTGGACTCCAAACTCCACCCCTGCGCATACTTTTCACGGAAGTTCTCTCCTACTCAGCAGAACTATGGGGTCGGGGACCGGAAACTGTTGGCGATAAAGTGGGCCCTGGAAGAGTGGAGACAGTGGCTCCTGGGTACTCCTACTCCTTTTCTAATCTGGACTGATCATCAGAACCTCATCTATATTCAGACCGCTCGCCAACTCAACCCTCGTCAGGCCCGGTGGGCCCTCTTTTTCGAGCCTTATAACTTTCACATCGCCTACCGCCCCGGCTCAAAAAACCTCAAGACGGACGCCCTTTCCCGTCAGCACACCCAGGACCCCCAGGCCTCCTGAACCGTTGTTCATCCTCCTGACCGAACGGTTCTTGGCCGCCCTGCAATGGCCCCTGGAAGCCTCCATCCGGGCAGCCCTCCCGGCTGAGCCGGCGCCCCCAGAGACGCCTCCTAACCGCCTTTACGTTCCGGCCGTGTGCCGACAGGAGGCCTTGAGGTGGGGGCATAGTTCACGGCTCGCGGGACACCAAGGCCAGGCTCGTACCCTCCAGTTCCTCCGCCGGGCCCTGTGGTGGCCCTCGATGAGAAAGGACGTGTGTGAGTACACTGCTGCATGCGACACCTGCGCCCGGTCTAAGTTCTCCACCCAACCTGGAGCCGGGGAATTGCAACCGCTCCCTGTGCCCAAACGGCCGTGGTCGCACATAGGTGTGGACTTTGTCATGGGGCTCCCCGCTGCCGATCACCTGGACACCATCCTCACCATCACCGACCGCTTTTCGAAAGCTGTGCACTTAGTGGCTATGGCAGGGCTCCCCACGGCTAAGAAAACAGCGGAACTCCTCCTCGATCATGTGGTGAGGCTCCATGGATTTCCCCAGGACGTGGTGTCTGACAGAGGACCCCAGTTCATCTCACGGTTCTGGAAGGCTTTCTGTCGGTTGGTGGGCGCTTCCGCCAGTCTGTCGTCAGGTTATCATCCCCAGACTAATGGTCAAACGGGGAGGGCAAACCAGCAGCTCGGGCGCTACTTACGCTGCTTCGCCTCGTCTCAACCATCCACCTGGCCCCGTTACCTCCTGTGGGCGGACCTCTCTCACAACCTCCAGACGTCCTCTGCCACGGGTCTATCTCCCTTTGAGACCTGTTATGGATACCAGCCCCCTCTTTTAGACCATCAGGTGCCGGAGGTGGAGGTTCCGGCGGCTCAGGATATGGTCCGCCGCTGCCGTCTCGCTTGGGTCAGAGCTCGCGCCGCCATCACCCGGGCTAATACGGAATACTCCCGACAACATCGTCACCGGCCCGGTCCTGTGTTCCAGCCTGGTGACCGGGTTTGGCTCTCTACCTCTAATCTACGGTTGCTGGCTGGTTCCAGGAAGTTGTCTCCCCGGTTTTTGGGACCCTTCCAAGTCCGAGATGTCCTCGGTCCGGTCGCTTACCGGCTGCGCCCTCCTTCCACTCTTAGGGTGCATCCTGTATTCCACGTCTCTCAGCTCAAGCCGGTGGTGTCGTCTCCCCTCCATCTGCCTCCGGTCCGGGTGCCGACGCCCCGAGGTGTCGATGGGGACCCCGTTTACACCGTCCGCAAGATTCTGGATGCCCGCCGCCGGGGCGGTGGATGGCAGTATTTGGTGGACTGGGAGGGTTACGATCCGGAGGAGCGTAGCTGGGAGCCTGCCCGCTTGTTCCTGGATTCGTCCCTGTTGACTGATTTCTGGTCTCGTCGCCCTGGGCCGTCCCTCGCGCGGGGGGGGGGGGGGTCCTGTCATGAACTCCTCATCTTAACCTCCTCCGCGGGCCTGGCTGGTACTGCACTCCATTTCCCAGCATCCCTGTCACCGACCCTACCCAGTGACGTCATCCTGCTGAGCCTATTTAAGGACCTGTCACTGTTGAGCCGGCACTCAGTCATCATCTCACGATAGACGCCAACCCATTCTAAAAACGACAAGCCAAATTTGCCAACTCTAAAGACCATCCGGGAAGAGAATTTCCCACGCTGTAAAGATCAGTCCCGACCAAACACCAGTCTCTCCGCGCCTGGGTCTCACAGCCATGCTACACCTACCTTAGCCACACTCCAGCTCAGCCTATTGAACCTGACACATTCGCACTTTGACCTAATAATGTGAAATTAAAATCATTTAATCAGCATGGGAACCATGTCTGAATGTAGATTCCACTGCATCTAATATTGTGCTGCAAAGATTCTCTTGAATGTCAATACTGCACATTATTACTGTGACCTGATCAGTTTTACTTGTTGTCTTTATTAAATATCTATACATTTGGTATTTATTTTGGTTTATTTGCTTTGTTTTGTTCTTTTATTTGTAATCCATATACCAAGTTATAATTTGTAATGGGGACAAGACCAGGAATTGCATATTGTGCTGCCTTTTCTTAAATTAGTAATAACAACAATGAATAAATAAATAAACTATAATTTTTAATTTGTAACGTGGTTTCATTTTGAAAACAGATACCAGATGTCAAATTTCCAATGTTTTATTTGCTCGTTTTCTAGACCTAGGCCCTCAGGTTGGGAAATACGTTCAAAATTAAACCCTTAATAGTTTAATATTTCAGACCATTCTGTGCCAACTTTACACTCCACGAGGTTTCACTTTCTTGTTTGTAAAATACATCACTTTCGGCGTGTCTTTTTGACTCCTATGAACGCAAATTATTTTGTCCTCGTTCAGACAGGTCACTTGATCTTTCCGCTGTGGAAGTAAATATCGAACGAACCCCGCCGGTACTGGTGTGCGTCTGCTGTCTAAAGTCTGTACGTGCCGCGGGCCCGGGCGGAAAGTAAACGGTTCCTAACAATGGGAGAAGTTAATAACGTGAAGAACTCAAAGCCACGGCTTCTGACTGTCTGGAAAACCTGCAACGCTGTTATGTCTTTATTCTTCACCCTCGCATCATACGTCCAGGTTGGCCAGTTTTTACTTACGTGTTTTTCTTTCCACCCAGTTAAACTGTGATTTATAACACTTTATTCACCCCCGTTACAGATAAATGACCCGGATGCAGGTCTATGGATGGTAGGATTTTGAAAATCTTTTTTCTGAGTCCAGACTTTACGTGAATTGTTGTTGACGTGTTAAGTGTTCCAGGTGGGTTATGGTGTTCCTGCAGTCCTGTGTGCGTTAATTGGCTTCAGACCGCACGTGACAGGTAGGGAGAAGCTTGGGTCTAAACATGTTTAAGGCTTTATTAATAATAAATGTTAAAAATCTAAACGAAGCAATAGAAACAAATCATGCTTCCTGTTTTGTCACGTTATGATCAACCTCATGAACTCTGGACCACTACGCTACGTTTCCCGTTGCTGTTTTGCGCCACCTCGTGGGACATTACAGCTAGAGTCATCTTGCATCTTCGGGTTTTTGTCTGCAGAGTCTTTGCCCTGGAGGCGCGTTGCTGACCTTCATGTGATGATCTCCAGTGCAATTATCTCCATGTTAGGGTGGAAACTTTACACAGGCCCAGTCACTCACATCTTCCACCAGGAGGAGGGCAGGTACACAAAAAAAATCTTAATTTTTCACATGAAGCGTTCAAAGTTTTTGACATGCAGATCAAAGTCACCATGCAGGCCACACAAATGTGCAGATCCTTTTAATGATCAAAAGTGGCATTTTTAAAATCTTAAAATTATAAAGAAAACAACAAATGATTTGTAGAAAATGATTCATAGATCATTGTAGATAAATGCAACACAAATACCTAATAAAAGGAAGCATCCATTTGAATTTGATGCGCTGATAGTTTTTTTTAGTTTCCTGGTCTTGAAAATAAATTTGATGCCATCATCAGCAACAAGAACAAGATGTGGGTCACTCTTTCTTCAGAAATAATCATTTTTCTGCAACAACAGGTGAATAAAGTGTTAAATGTTTTCAAGGTTAATGCTTTTTAGTAAGTCAGTAAGTGTTTGTGGTCCGATTAGTCATGAAACTTAAGTAGGTGAGTTGTGTCTACTACACAACAGATTTGTGTTGATATAAATAACTTTGGTTACAAAACAGAAAGATGAAGCCTTTATTATTAAACGGTTTGAGATATATTTTTCCTCTTCAGAGAATTTTCTGGTCTCATGCTGATGGCTGTTTGGCTCCTCCTGTGTCGCCACTCTGGAAGGTAACTATACATTTTTCTTAAACTTTTATTTATTATGCAGCCAGCCTGATCACATCAGATCTTTGTCCTCACTTGTTTGTCTTTTAGAGCTCCTGTTGGGATGCTGCGTGTGTCTACAGCTGTTGCCATCACAGTTTTTCCTATTGTAGCCTGGCTGTATTACTACACCAATAAGGAGCTGAGATCAAACTGGCCTTCACATTGTAAAACTGCTATTTAGGACAGCTACTTCTCCCTTTGATTACAAAAGTTAAATAGACTGAAAACTGTACTTTGAAAATGCTGCTTTGTTTGATTAATTCACTATAAATATAAAAGTTTAATCAATGGCACTAAAATTCAAATTCAATTCAAAATGTTAATCTTTGTAATCCAGTGATTATTGGAGAGGTGTTTCATTAGTTGGGGAGATTAAATTTTAATTAACATGATATTATGTTTGTAATTTTTTTATTTGATAATTTGCTAGATGAAGTATGTGAATGAATAAAACATGTTTCAGTAGTGACAGGTTTTCTACACTAGATGGTAGCAGAGAGCTCAAACACTAGACCCACCAAAGAAGAAGAAGTTCGTCACACGTTATGGCCGATCTCAGAACAGTGTGGTTAATTTTTTGAAGGACCCGTGTACATGATAACGAATGTAAATAACTGACCAGAGAACAGTAGTTCTCCCCCGCCCTGTGTCGTTTTATCTAACGCGCAGCCGCTTCCGGATCGCTGCCGCGGTTCTGTCAAGGTCCAAACAACCATGAGTGTGTTAAATCAGAGCATGTGCTGCCGGTTATTCCACAGTAGAGTCCTACAGAACCGAGCTGTCAGGCTTGCATACACTTTTATCCAGAGACCAACTGGACGGAACTACTTTCTGTCAACGCGAAGAGCTCATTGCTACCTGGTAGGTCAACGGTCAAGCACCAAAACTCCGCCAAGAACTTGGAGGATTTTAGGTTTTCATCTGAAAAATGTGGGTCGAGCCCCTTTTTAAGATTTTGTTGTCGTTCACTTTCATTAGATAATGATTACATAATATCCGGCGCCATTGTTCTTAGTCAAACATCATTTAGATATGGGTTTTCCCCCAAACATCTGTAATTTTTAATCTATGTCCTCCATATCGCCACCATCAACTAGCAAATAAATGTGGTAGTTTTTTTTAAACTTAAAATTTTTAAAAGAACTCTATTACCCCCTGATCTCATTTTGACAGGTGGGTGCAAGCCAGTGGCACACCTGCAGATCAACACACCTGTGCTTCTCCAGGGCATTCTCCTCAATGCCACCACCACCTTCCTCAGGCGACCAGTCCAAGAAGTCTGGGGTGAGTTTCAGAAGTTGGATCAGACTAATAAAGCTCTCTTTGCAGGTTTTGAAATACTTACATTTGTAAGGTTCATGTTATTATTCTTAACAAGCACAGCAATCACACAGCAATCATCATTTGTTTAGAATTCTTCATGATTCATGTTTGTCCTGTAATTAGACAGATCCTGTCCACAGCAGAAGCGTCTTTTCTGATTTAAATGGTTGAATTTTGCTGATGAATGTGTTTGTCAGACTGTGACCGTGATCTCCGGCTTTCACTGGAGTGGTTCGCAGCCGAGTGTGAAGCAGTTAGGATGAGAATCAGCTCCTCTAAATAGACCCGCTGCTCCTCCACATCGAGAGGAGCCAGTTGAGGTGGCTCTGGCATCTAGTTAGGATGCCTCCTGGATGCCACCCTGATGAGGTTTTCAGGGCACGTCCAACCAGGAGAAGACCCAGAGGAAGACCCAGGATGCGTTACCATACCAGTTTATTTATCAAGCACATTTACAAACAGCATGGGAGCTGACCAAAGCGCTTTACATGTTGGTACAGGAAAAGGAGAGATAAAAGAAAGCATCAAAGCATAAAACAGCAGCAAAAGATAATAACTAATAAACCACCAAAGTGGCTGTTGTACAGTCAATAACACCTAATAAAATACAAATAAGAGCACCTAAAAATTATTTCACAAAAACCAATTCAGGGTTTATAAGCCAAGTCATGAAAATTGTGGTCAATCGGGACTTCAAGCTTCTTTCTGGAGTATTTCTCTTATCCGCTGGCACCATCTATTGGCTGACAAGCATATCACGCAAAACTCTGTTGCTTTGTTTAAGATGGCGACTTCACGTTTCTGTTTATAAATGTAGCCGACAAACGGCTAAAACACGTTGTTTTACGAGTATTATTCTCATGTTATGTTGTGTTCTCATATATTTATAATTTAGAGACTATCTTATCCGTGACAAGTTCATCAACTCTGCATCAGCCGAGGTGTTCCTTACATTTGAAGCATCGAAGCGGTAGTCTACCGCTATTGGTTAGTCCTGGTCGACGCTCAGTTTCCTATTGCACGGAGCTCTGCGGGGCAGGGGGCGTGCTTAGCAAAAAAAAAAAAAAGATGTATGTTTACATTATATCACAGTACATGATGAGACCATCGCTTTTATGGATTTCTGAAAAATCATACATCATTTCTGAAAGGGGAAAACTCCCGAGAGCTGCTTTAAAGGCAACAATGGATGCTGACTGATGGATTGTAACAGGCACGGCATGCACAAAAACACGCTCCCCCTCATTTTATAGTTCCTTAAAGGGGTGCAGAGCAACAGGCATTCAGCCGATCTCAGCGAGTGCGTCGGTACATCGAGCCTCAGACAGGTGCATTGGTGCAAGGCCATTCAGTGCTTTAATAACAGAGAGCAAGATCTATCCTAAGTCCAGCTGGAGGGACTATGTCTCTTGGCGTGCCAGGGAACGCCCCCCAGGAGGAGCTGGCCCAAGTGGCCGGAGAGAGGGAAGTCTGGGCCTCTCTGCTTAGGCTGCTGCCACCACGACTCGACCCCGGATTAGCAGATGATGATGGATAGTTGTGTTTATCAGAAACAATTTAATAAAACAAGAATGAATTGGCTTCAGAAGGTTTTTCAACCAGAGAGGATGGCTCTGAAGGTCTGTGTCTGATTCTTACACAGATCCAAGCTGACTTTGACTGTAAAAGTTATCTCAGGCCACTATAACAACACATTTCCCCCAATCTCTTTTAACGTGAAAATTCTGATTCTGTAAGCAAAAGCTTCCTATAAGATCTATTGTGCGTGACTTGCTGCTGAGGTCGTTACCAGAAAGCATGTTTTATTTTTAGCATGCTTAGCCATGTGTTGGTAAATAAAAACAAACAAGTCCAACCTGTGACTTTCAGATCAGCTGATAACCAAACACCTTGCTGAATGTTAGCTAACCAGCAGCTTTGGTTTTGTTTCCATCTGTAAAATACTGCAGTCTCTCACTTAAATTTGTTTTTCAGAATAAAGTCTTTGTAAAGCAACACCAGGCAACATTTTCTGAAGTCATTTCTAAAATGTGCATAAGCGTGTCTCATCTCTGTCGTTGTTTTCCTTTCTTAAAGCCCGTGACGTGGAAGTCGTTAGCGGTAACTTTTGCTATTGGCGGTGCTTTACTGGCAGGGATGAAGTACCTCAAGAAAGAGAAGGAGGAGTGTGAGTATTGTACTGGTGAGGATGCTTGTGTTGTTGGTGCATCGTGATAACAGTGTCATCATAATTATCTATTTAATATGCAGTGATTGAAAAAGAGCGAAACAAATCGATTGGAAGGCCGGCGCTGGGCGGCCCCTTCTCACTCGTGGATCACAACCATAAGCCGTGCAAGAGTGAGGACTTCTTTGGACGCTGGGTCCTGATCTACTTTGGGTTCACGCACTGCCCCGACATCTGCCCAGACGAAATAGAAAAAATGATGGAAGTGGTGGATGAGTTGGGTAATGTTCTTTATTATATCACAAAAAAGAAATACATGTTAGAAGAGTAAATAAGTTATTTTACCCAATGTTTTGTTTTTGTTTGTTCCTCTGCAGACAATATCAAGTCTCTTCCAAACCTGACTCCCATCATCATCACCATCGATCCTGACAGGGACACTCCAGAGGCCATGGCTGCGTATGTGAAAGGTACCAAAACATCACAGGATTCTGTTTGATGTCAGTCAGGAACACACGTATGTCATTACAACAGGGACAGGGCACAGTAGTAGGACAGCATTGCCACTGACACACTAGCATCAGCTCCGCCCACCTCAGCCCGGCCGTGTTTATTCCACACTGCCTTAGGAATGCAGCTGTGATTGAGCACGTGGGCACTCTGTGATGTCATTAGCACATCCCTGAGCACATGGGCGGGGCAAAAGAGCGCAGAGAAGTCCCAGACTCTGAGGTGTCTCCATTATTAAACAAAAGCGACCTGAGCAGTCTTGCTTTGGTGTGTGTGTGTGTGTGTGTGTGTGTGTGTGTGTGTGTGTGTGTGTGTGTGTGTGCGCATGCGCCTCTCCACAGTAGTGAGGAACAGAGAAAACTGCTCCAGTCAGAGGCCCGTTACCTTCCCCGCATCCAGAATGATAATAAATCATGCATACGGGAACGCCCCTGTGAGCTGATTTTATCTGCCAATCGGAGGCTCCCTCTATCGGTAGGCGTGATTTTGAGCCAGCCAATCAGTCAGCAGTGGGCGTGTTGGACCAGTTCGGCTCCAGGCAGGCCGCCTCGGGATGGACTGAAAGACGTCTGATTGTTCGCGAGAAAATCCAAGGCTACCATAATGAGAACACTCCCAACCTGGTCCAGACAGAGGGGAGCTGATGCTCGTGTGTAAGAGCCATAAGAGAGGACCGGTCAGGTCTAGAGGACTAGACCTGGACGTAACACGCACACACACAAAGAAACACATTAGTGCAGTTGATGTTGTTAGAAAAAGTCATCCAAGGTAACTACATCTGGAAAATAATAACAGTTCAGTCACAGAATCTGATGGTCACAAAAATGCTTTAACACCAGATGCAAAAGCTACTGTTAAATAACCACAATGTTATCTGGTGTTTTTCACCTGTTGTTGGCAACTTTTCTGCCATAATTCCTAACATAATGCACCTTCGTTACTGCATGACCGTTTATAGCTAACGTAGTGGCCAAACGAGTCCGTTTTCAGCTTTCTAAACTTCAGAGTCACAGCAGCTCAGCACCACCAACAATCTGGGAAAACCTCACAAACGATAGGGCAAAACACCTCGAACTGGAAAATCTTCTCTCTTCTCTGCCAGCTCATGGCACACACACACACTCACACACACTCACCCTCTCTCACACACGCTTTGCTGGCCGACAGTGGACAGCAGCGTTCAGACGATCACTCATCACCTAAAGATTTCCCAACAAGAACAGAAAATGTAAAACAACTCTTCAACATTTTGGCGAGACTGCATTATAATTGTAGAAATTCAGTGTAACTGCATTTTACATCTATAAAAAAATCTGCTAGGTTCCAGTTTTCATTTTGTGAAGCAATTTAGTCATAAATCCTTATAAAAACTACAAATTCTCTCCTCTAAACACCGAAGAACTGTGCTGTGCATACGTCGCTGAAAGACGTCATAAGAGATGTAGCTACAGGTGCCCAACCCTAACCCCAGACTTCAGAACTAAATCTTTAAATCATCACTACATTTGGTTTTATGCACATTTCTCTTATTCAGGAACGATAAACATGAGAGATATCAAACTTCCATCCTCAGACCAGGGTGCGATTACCCTCCTAACCCTCGTTTTCATGTGACTTTGAGGTTTTGACCAGCTGATATTTGTGTCAGAATTTTCCCCAAAGCTGATTGGTCTGACGGGGACGAAGGCGCAGATCGAGGAGGTCTCCAGAGCGTACAGGGTTTACTACAGCCAGGGCCCAAAGGACGAGGACAACGACTACATCGTGAGTCTCAGCCTGCTTCCCTCGTCTTTAGTGATGAAAACCTGGTGAAAGAAAACAAGGATTGTGTTTTTGTGCCATCTTTAGGTGGATCACACCATTATCATGTACCTGGTGGGGCCACATGGGGAGTTTGTTGAGTTTTATGGACAAAACAAAAGAAGTGTGGAGATCATCAGCTCCATAGCTGCACAGATGAGGAGATATAAGACGGGGAAATGAGCTGTGATGGCGTTGCTGCTTGCTGCTGCTCTGGTTTGTTCTGTGTTTTATTTTCTGCACATTATCAGATTAGGGCGTGTGAGTGCTGTGATTTTATTTTATTTGATGCAGATCGATGCTTTTCTATATCATTTTTCTACAGAAACATTAAACAGTGTTTTGTTGTTAAAACAGAAGCAAGAATGTCTTATTTTGTGACACAAGTTAGGACTCAACATCTCACCGACGAGACGAAGCGACACGTCGAGAGAGGAATTTAAGAGATTATCAGTTTCTGCTGCTGAGTGAACCAAATGAGTCCTTCCTGTTTCCTTTCAGATGGATGTGTGAGGTGTTAATGAGCAGACTGTGGACAATCTGGGTTGTCTGATAATAAATAACACAATGGGTTGGTTCTCTGTATTTTTCTCATGCATGCATAGAAAAAGTAAGGAGGGCGAGGATGTTGAGCTTTATCTCAAAATGTTGAGAATAAAGTTCAGTTTATTTATTTTACAGTGCCACAACACAACAAGAGTCGTCTCAAGGCTCTTCACACAGTAAACATTTCAATACGGTTCAGTTCATTAAGCCAATCAGTAAAATGTTTCCTATACAGGTGCTGGCCAGTAAATTAGAATATCATCAAAAGGTTGAAAATATTTCAGTAATTCCATTCAAAACGTGAAACTTGTACATTATATTCATGCAATGCACACAGACCAATGTATTTCCAATGTTCATTACATTTAAATTTGATATTCATAAGTGACAACTAATGAAAACTCCAAATTTGGTATCTCAAAAAATTAGAATATTCTGAAAAGGCTGAATATAGAAGACACCTGCTGCCACTCTAATCAGCTGATTTACTCAAAACACCTGCAAAGGCCTTTAAAAGGTCCCTCAGTCTTGTTTTGAAGGCACCACAATCATGGGGAAGACTTCTGACTTAACAGCTGTCCAAAAGACAATCATTGACACCTTGCACAAGGAGGGCAAGACACAAAAGGTGATTGCTAAAGAAGCTGGCTGTTCGCAGAGCTCTGTGTCCAAGCACATTAACAGACAGGCGAAGGGACGGAAAAAATGTGGTAGAAAAAAGTGTACAAGCTCTAGGGATAACTGCACCCTGCAGAGAATTGTGACGACAAACCCATTCAAAAATGTGGGGGAGATCCACAAAGAGTGGACTGCAGCTGGAGTCAGCGCTTCAAGAACCACCACGAGGAGACTCATGAAAGACATGGGATTCAGGTGTCGCATTCCGTGTGTCAAGCCACTCTTGAACAAGAAACAGCGCAAGAAGCGTCTCGCCTGGGCCAAGGACAAAAAGGACTGGACTGATGCTGAGTGGTCCAAAGTTATGTTTTCTGATGAAAGCAAGTTCTGCATTTCCTTTGGAAATCAAGGACCCAGAGTCTGGAGGAAGAGCGGAGAAGCACAGAATCCACGTTGCATGAGGTCCAGTGTAAAGTTTCCACCGTCAGTGATGGTGTGGGGTGCCATGTCATCTGCCGGTGTTGGCCCACTCTGTTTCCTGAGGTCCAGGGTCAATGCAGCCGTCTACCAGGAAGTTTTAGAACACTTCATGCTTCCTGCTGCTGACCAACTTTATGGGGATGCAGACTTCACCTTTCAACAGGACTTGGCACCTGCACACAGTGCCAAAACCACCAGCACCTGGTTCAAGGACCATGGTATCCCTGTCCTTGATTGGCCAGCAAACTCGCCTGACCTAAACCCCATAGAAAATCTATGGGGTATTGTGAAGCGGAGGATGCAATACGCTAGACCCAACAATGCAGAGGAGCTGAAGACGACTATCAGAGCAACCTGGGCTCTCATAACACCTGAGCAGTGCCACAGACTGATCGAGTCCATGCCACGCCGCATTACTGCAGTTATTGAGGCAAAAGGAGCCCCGACTAAGTATTGAGTGCTATACATGCACATTCTTTTCATGTTCATTCTTTTCAGTTGGCCAACATTAGAGAAACAAACATTTTTTCATTGGCCTTTAGAATATTCTAATTTTCTGAGATACCAGATTTGATGTTTTCATTGGTTGTCACCTATAAATATCAAATTTAAATGTAATGAACATTGGAAATACATTGGTCTGTGTGCATTGCATGAATATAATGTACAAGTTTCACGTTTTGAATGGAATTACTGAAATATTTTCAACCTTTTGATGATATTCTAATTTACTGGCCAGCACCTGTATAAGGAACCCAGCAGGTTGTACCGAGTCACTGACTAGTGTCAGTCTTTACAGCAATCCTCAGAAGGCATGCAGCGACAGTGGAGAGGAAAACTATGGGACTAGATTTGGGCCAATAATTTCAAGAAAAACTCTTAGAAGGTCAAACAAAAATTAAGAATGTGCGAGAAAAAAAATAAATTGCAAAAAAAAAAATCGTTTCAAAAGTGAAACTTACTTTTGAAACGATTTTTTTTTTTTTGCAATTAATTTTTTTTCTCGCACATTCTTAATTTTTGTTTGACCTTCTAAGAGTTTTTCTTGAAATTATTGGCCCAAATCTAGTCCCATAGAAACTGACCAAAGTTACTAATAAAAGTTCATTCACATTTTACAAAGCCTGGTTTTTGGTTACAAATTGGTTGTTTGTATGTGAAAATAAGTCATGTGTTGTATGTAAAAAATTCTATCAGACAGTTTTTTGATATTAATCATTTATATGTCATTACACAGCTGTATTAAATGCTAATAAATTATCCTCATCTCATCTATTGGGAGTGTCATTGTCAAGCCAGTAGTACCAGTAAATAACCACTAGGTGTCATTAAACTATGTAAACAGTGCAAAATTTTTTATCTTATTTGCTCTGTTTGTATTTAATCAACACATTTAATTAAAAAGATTTTCTGCTAAATACAATAGCTGACAACATTTATAAATGTTGACAAAGTAATCACATGATGGTGGAAAGACATTCAAGAATAAATAGATGAATTTGAATGACCGAAGCATGTTTTAAAGGCACAAAAACAAACTATAAACACGCAGCCTAAATTATTACAATATAAATTTAATACAATCTATAATCTTAAAAGAAATTATTTTAATAAAATGAAAACATTACCTTAAGTTTTGATCTTGCTTTATGCTCATTCAGGCTGTTTTCTGAGTGTGAACTTATTGTTTTGCTATTTGAACATTAATAAAAATATTTGAAAAATAATTAATAAAACCAGCAACACTTACCAAGGAAACCATTTAGCATGCTCCACTCCGGGATAATCTTCAGCCTTCCAGCATCACAGGCCTCAGTCGCAGCAGAAACACGTCTAAAGAAATGTTCCTTGGTTAAGCTTCAGTTTATGTCTCCAGATTTCCTCTGTGATGCCGAGGAATATCCAATATTTTGAGAGGGATGATTTAGTGCTAAGTACTCACGCATCCTGTCATCAGTTTGGCACCACTTTGCAGGATCAGATGGGTAGCTAGTTAACACCCTTTCTGGGTCTAGAGGCTCCTGTAAGACTATATTGGGGCTCACTTCTGGTTGGCTGCTGTTCTTCCAGTTCGTCCTTCTGTGACGGCGTTGATGTTGACGGCGCTACAGCGTCTTCCGCCATATTTCCCACCGCATCTTCCATCGCGTCTTCGGGTTGTGTCTCCTCCGGGTCTGGCTCGGGCCCGGCCTCTGGCTCTGCTGACTCGAGCAGGTTCACAGCTGTCGGACAGCTGCCCAAGCAGCCCGACAGAAGCTTCTGTAAAGCCCCCCGCTGTTTCTTCTTTTGTTCCTCTTCATTTTTTTACGTTTTGCCCATGGTTTTGCCGCACCCGAAAGCATCGTGAACGTTAGCCTACTCAAAAACACCTGCTAGCTTTGTTGTGTCCCGCTGACTCTGACGTCCTTAATTGGGTGGCGCCCAAGTTGTAGGCTACAGTCATGGGCTGGCGTTAATGTGACGTAGCCAATGTAACGTCTATGGTTAAGATAAACATTGTCACTATTTTTAGTTAATTAAATTAAATAATTTTGTCCCTCTGTCTGGGCCCCATCCAGCCAATCAGGCCCTAGGCACGTGCCTACTTTGCCTTTGCGTTGATCCGGCTCTGGTTGTGAGTGGGATTTTTATAGAGTAAACTTTAAAAATATGAGACGTTTTATTATTTGAAGGGGATCTCTAATGGCTCCTTCAGTGGCAGTGCCAAGTAACAGAAATCAGAAGATTTTACCCTTCACAATAAGAGTCTCAAACACACGCATCTCAAGCTCATAAAACATTGTATTAACATTGTTCTCTGAGTTTCACCACACACCGGCATAAATAAGTTGTTTTTCATCTTCAGATGTTTTGAGGTTTTACGCACTAAAGCTCCTTTATTTTGTATGAGGATTGTTTCTACTGCCTCTATTCCAAATGAAAGCCTTTTAAAAAATATTTTTTAAGTTAAAATAGAAAAATTTATTATAAAACACCTAAACAAGCTGCTGCTTTTGAGACAAAAAATTGATTGAAACAACTGTTTGATTTTACTTTGCACATTTGGAATGAGGTGAAAGTTATCAGAAGTGGTAAGACCTGGACACGTCACTTTAAAATGATAAAATTAATAAAAGTGAACAATTATTGGGTCTGATTTTGTTAATATTCAAAAAAACGTTCATAAATGCACTGGAGCCAAGTCAAAAATCTGCTTATATACAAGAAAAACTCCTAGAGACTTTCATCACACACACACACACACACACACACACACACACACACACACACACACGCACGCACGCACACACACACACACACACACACACACACAGTGTTTATTAAACTGGTTCCTATAGAGCTCCGGACGTCACATGACTCTCAGAGAGTAGACGCCATGTTGGCAGGCAACAAATGTAAACAAAATGAACGGGATCAGCTTGGATTTTACTTCGTTGGAGTTTACTTCACACTTTAAAACCGAAGAAATCGTTTTATATAGTCAGAAATTAAATAGACTAAACATCTCTGGCCCTTACCGTGCCCTTGGGATACTTTTTAAAAATGCCAGAAGCTGTCAGAGCGGACTTCTTACCGGACCTGGCCGGGGAACCCCTTGGGATTACCCCGGAGGAGCTGGCACAAGTGTCTGGGGAGAGGGAAGTCTGGGCCTCTCGACGCTACTGCCCCCGCAACCCAACTCCAGATAAGCGTATGAAAATGGATGGATGGACAAATAACATAGATTTACAGTGGGGCAAAAAAGTATTTAGTCAGCCACCGATTGTGCAAGTTCTTCCACTTAAAACGATGACAGAGGTCAGTAATTTACATCATAGGTACACTTCAACTGTGAGAGACAGAATGTGAAAAATAATCCATGAATTCACACGGCAGAATTTTTAAAGAATTTAGTTGTAAATCAGGGTGGAAAATAAGTATTTGGTCACTTCAAACAAGGAAAATCTCTGGCTCTCACAGACCTGTAACGTCTTCTTTAAGAAGCTTTTCTGTCCTCCACTCGTTACCTGTATTAATGGCACCTGTTTGAACTCATTATCTGTAAAAAAGACACCTGTCCACAGCCTCAAACAATCAGACTCCAAACTCCACTATGGCCAAGACC